TATTTATTTTTTTTCCCCAAAGCCGCAGTAGATAGTTGTATGTCACAGCTGCACATCCTTCTAGTTGCTGTATGTGGGACGCGGCCTCAGCATAGCCGGAGAAGCAGTGCGTCGGTGTGTGTCCGGGATCCGAACCCGGGCCGCCAGCAGTGGAGCGCGTGTACCTAACCACTAAGCCACAGGGCCGACCCTAAAAATTCTTTTTTAAAACATGTAGTCCAACCCTCACATTTTATACATATGGAAATTGAAGCTCAGAAGATTAAGTAATCTGCTCAAGGTCACACAGCTTGTTGGTGTGTGAAAATGAGTTACTGTGAATTATAGCCAATATCTTTTCTTCAGTGAGTGCCCTTTTCATTATCAAATTCTTTTGTACAGAATAATAATAATGCCTCCTATTTCTTAAAAGTTAACATGTAGCTTAGTCCATTTCATGATAAACTTGCCTCATTTTAAAATTCTATTAAAAATATTTTAACTTCATATCTAGCAGTCTTACAAGGTTGACTCTATAAAAATAGAGACAGGTATGATTTTCCTTAGAATTATCATATTCCGATCAAAGTTAGGTATGGGCCACAGCACTTAGTGAAGAAGCTGTCTGAACTGGTGTAATGGATCCTCTCTCCCCTGACCTGTTAATAGATGTGCAAAGCTTCCGTATGTCTGACACCCAAGAGGCATCTCCATTACTTCAGATACAGTGATAGCCCCAGTAAAGACGCAGATTCCAGTAATGTTATCGCCCTTTTTATCTCTTTCTTCAGGATCTACAGTCTTTGCAGAAATTCAGGGGGTCATTGATGCTTGCATTAAGCTATCTGGAATGCCTGACCTTTCTCTTTCTTTCATGGTAAGTTCTGTTCTCCTGTTCTGTAGCTCCTTGCATGCCTAATACATATGAATTACTAAATAAAATGATAAATACTGAGACACGTTTGTGTCTTAGATTGCCAGGATTATTTCAGAAATATTCCTAGCACAGCTTCCCTAAACAATAGCTTACATGATGACCATGGCCTTTATGGAAAGGCTGAGGAGAGATCTTTGCCTAAGTGTGCTAGAAGTGGCTTAAATAGCTGGCTGGCTTCTGCAGATCTGCAGTGGCATTTGTATGAATTATTTGCTTTGCTGATATGAAAAGGTATTGATCTTTTGCATCATTTTAGACTTGGCATGACACACTACTAAGAACAATCAAGAGAACTGAGTTCTGGTGCTGTCTTTGCCACTAACTTGTCCTGACCTTGGGTTGTTTGAACCTCAGTTTTTTCATCCATGAAATGAAAATGATACTACTCACATTTTCTATCTCATAGAGTTATGGAAATTTAAATAAAATAATGTATATATAATATTTGCAAACTTTAAAGCATTGTGAAACTCTAATGTTGTGTTGATGTGGTTATAATAACAAACCCTTACATGATTGCTTTATCTTTAGGGAGCATATTAATTTCTCATCTCTGAGTAGAGCTGCCATATTTGTTATAGTCTATGAATGCAGCTGTCTTCTGTTTTCCTGGCAGAACCCAAGGCTTCTAGATGATGTCAGCTTCCATCCCTGCATCCGGTTCAAGCGTTGGGAATCTGAAAGAGTTTTGTCATTTATTCCTCCAGATGGAAATTTCCGACTCATATCATATCGTGTCAGCTCACAAAAGTATGTTGATGCTTCAACCAGAATCTGCCGTCATATATCAATGTGCTGGGTAGAACTCACCTTTCCCTGTTAACATGCTGACAGTTGGATACTTGAATTCATCATTGCTCCCTTATAGCCATGGCTCACCAGAAGACTCAGGAAGAACTGGTGAAAATATGTGTTTAAAATAATCAGTGTCCCTTGAATCTAAGAGTATAGAGTAGTAGTAAATAAGACTATAGTAAAATATGTACCTGAGAGCAAGCGTTTTGGACCATGCGTAACCTGGGCAAAACCATGAACCCGTGCCATAATTTTACTATGGTCTGTAGATGTCATCACTGACAAAAGGAGACAGATGTACCTGTAGCGCCCCAGGACATCCCCCAACTAATTGGTGTCAAGTCATTCTTCTCTGCACTGAGGTTTAAATGAATGATTTAGTGTTGTGGGTTGTAGCTGGTTTGTCCCTTGAAAATACCAGAAGGTATTTGGGTAACATCAGGACAGGACTCAAAAGCAGAGGAATTGTTTCTTGGCTCTTACCACATAGAAACTGCTTTATTTAGTTTGTATAACTTTAAATTATCTTTCTATGGGATCTTAATTCATTTCTTTAAGCTAGGGCTATTTGCCCCAACTTTTAATACTATAATTAAGTTTCAGATTTCTATCTTGATTTGTATGCTTATTGCTCAGAAATTAGATAATTCCTAGCGCAGTGGGACCAGAACACTATGCTGCACTCAGTGCCCACACCCTGGTGTAGATGCTGAATCTGCAGTTCTGGGGGTATAGGGCCCTATAGTGGAGTTAGAGACAGGGTAGGATACTCTGGACTGAGGTTTGCAGGCCACCTCCAGAGCTGTCTCATACCATTAATTGTGTGTGTGTGTGTGCTTTTGTTTCTTTCTCTTTTTAGTCTAGTGGCAATACCAGTGTATGTGAAACATAGCATCAGCTTTAAGGAGAACAGTTCTTGTGGCAGATTTGATATTACAATTGGACCAAAGCAGAATATGGGAAAAACTATTGAAGGAATCACAGTGACAGTTCACATGCCAAAAGTTGTGCTGAATATGAACTTGACACCAACACAAGGCAGCTATACATTTGATCCAGTTACCAAGGTACAGCCACCTCAAATCAAGAGTGAACAAGTGTTGCTGCAATGTTTATTTTGTGATTTGGGAGGGTGGGGGAGCAGAGGAAAGGGTTTAGTGTCTTAGTTAAAATGAAAGTTTCTAACAAAACCTAGAGAGCATACTGTGCTGTGCTTCTGCCACTGGCTGTGGATGGAATCCTGCATCTGCTGCTGAGTAGAACAAAAAAGTGAGACTCATTCTGTCCTCTTCAGAGTGTGCCTTTACTCATCCATTGATAATCCAGAGACTCACTCATTCTCCAATGAGGAAGAAGATGTAAAAGCTTTTTAAAAAGAGAAAAGCATTATATGGATATAAGCAGATATCATTTTAGTCTATTAATTGTGAAAGTTTTGTAGAAATTTATCCTTAAGACCTTTCTCTTCTTTTTTAATTTAAAAGCATTGTTTCATACTCTTCCACAGGGGATGTTTGCTAGGAAAGCTGCTTCCTCATCCTACATAAACATGCCTCAAGCAGAAGGTTTTCAGAGAAACTGTAAAAGATGATTTTCTCTCAGCTTCTTGCTTGGGGTAAAAAATATGATTCTTTTCAGCAACAGTCATTGAGCTGCCTGATAAATGAAATGCCTTATTTTTTAATAAAATCATAGAATGTTAAAGATCGTCTAATCCAGTCCTGAGGATTCGAAGAACATCCACAGAGACCACATAGGGCTGAGAAGTGAAAGGGGGAGCTTCAGATCCCTAGCCCTTCACCCCGGCTTCAACCATAACAGTTCCATTTTCTCATCTATTGCTGAGCATCTACACTAAAGACTTCATTTGAACAAAGGGTTCCACAGCTAAATGTTTAGAAACACCAATTTAGGTCAGTCTTCTCATTTTACAGAAAAATAAACTGAGGCCCAAAGAGAAACAGTGAAGGTCGTATAGTGGAAAGAACATTTGAAATCAGATAGCCTTAGGTTCAAATCCCAACCTTGTCTCTTAACTAGCCATGTGACCATGAGCAAGTCATTTGACCTCTGAGCCTTAGTTTCCTTGTTTGTAAATGAAGACAAAGTCTACATCACAGGCTTCTATGAGATAACTTATGAATAGTGGTAAGCATAGTGCTATATCCAAAAGTAGATGTTCAACGAATGTTGGTTCTCTATCCTCACTCTCCAAAATCATAGAACTAATTAGTGGTAAAACTTAGTGACGATCTCAGGTCTCTTGTTTCCAAGACACTGTGCTTCATTTTGCACAGAACTTTGAACCTTGTCTTTGTACATTTGTCTTTAATAAATTCAGATTTTTTTTTGTTTTTTGTCTTTTTAAGATACTAACATGGGATGTAGGAAAAATTACTCCACAAAAGCTCCCAAGTCTTAAAGGACTGGTAAATTTACAGTCTGGAGCACCCAAGCCAGAAGAGAATCCAAGCCTCAACATACAGTTCAAGATCCAGCAGCTTGCTATTTCAGGTAAAGAAAAGTTTGACTTGTGTTTAAAGGTAATTGGGTTTTGCTGAGGTCAACTATTAGGAGCTTAGAAGGGTAACTAACATTCCCTCTCTAGAAAGAGCAACAGCTCCAGTTTGCCTTTCACACTGTACTATGGGGCCAGTCTCTCAGGTATGATGATTTTGGAGAGCACCTTATTTCACACAGCTTCCCTTCGCCCCCACCCTCATTGAAGTAACAAAGAAGGAGTTATTCATATTCACAGAAAGTAGAATTATCCTTAAAAGACATTCCTTGCCCATATGGGAATCTGAACTAGAACCATACCCCCACAGTGCTATAATTTGTGAATGGTAGAAGGGACATTGCTTCTAAATGGTGAAAGGGACACTGGTTAATGTCAGATTTACTGTGTAATGCTCATTGCTAAACAAATATTGTAGTGGTTGGTGTGACCAGGATAATCATTTGTTCCTTTCCTTACCTATTCTTTTTGACACAGGCTTAAAAGTAAACCGCTTGGACATGTATGGGGAGAAATATAAGCCATTTAAAGGAGTCAAATATGTCACGAAAGCTGGAAAGTTCCAAGTGAGGACATGAGAAGAGGCCAAAATTCCTCAAGATGTGTTTGTTTTCCAAGTGTCATTACAGTTTATTACTATTAGGTACCAAGTGGGTGGGAATACATATTCTAGTTAAAGCATTTGTGTCAAGCTACACACCACTAACAAAGTTGCTTAGTAATCAGTGTAGGGTTCTTAAGGAGCTTTAAGCTAAGGTAACTTTTGAATGACTTAGCTTATTTTGTATCTTTTCACTTAGGAAAATTTTGGAGTTGATTTCCTCTATAGGGGGGCACCAGCTGGAGGCTGCACACTGTAACAGTAAAGGCAGAAGGCTACAAAGATAGCCTCTCTCCTAAAACAAGTGAACTGGTCTCAGCCAGCAGGAGCTGTCTTAATTTGTAATGTGATGTGTCAAGTGCAGCCAAATGTCACACTTGATCTTAGCCATTCCAAATCAGCATCTGTCCCAACAGAGGAAATTTCCCCCACCCCGAGAAGTTTACAGAAAACTGCCTCTTCAAGTGTTTGCCTTATTCAGCTTTTCACTTGTGCCATTAAGCAAGCACTGTAGCAAAAGCCACTTCCACATGGCCCTGGCAGGGAGCACTGCTGCTCCATGCTCCATTCTCACTGTACTTGGTATTGTATTTTTTATAAATAAGATTTTTATGTAAAGCTCAGATTTTGATTTACAGGGACCTTGCTGCAGTAAGTACCATCTCAGTTTTGTGGCACTGGTTCAGCTGTTCGCACAGTAAAAATCATTGGTATCAAAGGGGCGAATGCTTTATTAAGGTAATAAAAGGGAACACTACTTCTGCTTTTAGGAAGTTATTGCAAGCACAAGCATTTGAGATTTTAAGCAAATTAAAGTAGTAAAAGAGAAACTTAAGTGAACCTTTGCCATCTTCATGTTTTATAAAGCTTATCCAACATGACTTAAACCATAGTTAGCTTAAAAGCCTCTTGCCCCAGTTCAGTGAAAGGAGGAAAATACACCTGCCTCAGTATCATCAGTCTTTTTTTTTTTTTTTTTTAATCTTTTTTATTGTTGTTTTTAAGGGCTTGAATTTGCCCGCAGCCCTTGTTTTCAGGGGGAACTCCCTTTTCATATTGTGTTCTTCCCAAGGCTATAGTCAGTAGATTCCTTCCTGAAACTATTGCCATAATTGTCGCTGGAGTACTTAAATGTCTCTACTGTATGTGGAGGTACATTATATTGAGGCAGAAACAAAATCCTCAGTAACGTTGATGAAACCGTGTTGATCATCAGGGTTGGCAAGTTGGTCTACAGTTGTATCATTTCACTCAACTTCATTGGCTTACAAGTCTTTGCCCAGTTATTTTGCCTTATTAGACATGAAGAATGGAGAAAGGCTGAAAGTTATGATATAAGTGCTTGTTCTTCATGTTTCCTTCTTGTTCTTACTTATGCTATTAGTTTTCTTCTCCTTGTGACTCCATTCTTTTCATTCTTCTCAACTTATAACTCCCTTTCCCTTATCATGCTAAGGATAGCCCTGACACTCATCCATTCTGCTGTCAAGGGCTAGTGGTTGGTGCTGGTAGAGGGAGCCCACTACACAGCAGCATTCTTACCTTTGCTTGCCTAGGGCATCCAGCCTGCCTTTCATCTAATAGGAAAGATTACTTTTTGCTACTTTGGTATTTCTAGGGTAACCAGTATCACCTTGGCAGCTTAAATAAAAATGTTGCCAAATATTTATTCCTTTTGCCTAAGGCTGGTTACCCAGTTCAATTGCTTTTCATTTTTAATGTCTTACTTTTCAGAGTTCATATCTCAAAAGAGCAATCAGTACATCTGCTTTTCTTTCTGCAGAATCCCTAATCTCAACCATCTGTACCTGGACTGTCCAATTTTTTTTCTGTGCTGTATTCTCTTATATACAGGCAGATTGTATGCCAAGAGTCCCTTGCCTCAAGCAATTTCTGCTAAAACTTTCAAGTAGACTGTTTCCTTTTACAATTAAATTATTGTATTTATTAATTTGAATCTAGTAAATCCTTTCTCTAGCTCTGGCTATACTGTCAATAAAAAGATGAAAGCAACAAGTTGATTTTTTAGCTTGACTATTGATTGAGCATTCTCAAATGGGCATGCCTCAGTGTCACAGCAGGCTGAACATGATCAGATTTTGTTCTATCATCACACAAGGTGTGAGGGTTGCTGCCAAGTACTTCCAAGTGCTCCTCTCTTAACTGCAGTATATTAACAGCCATGTATACTTTCTCTAAGCATCACCCTTCTGGCCACAGACTGATCCAAGCTTCCTCTCCCTACCACCACCACCTACTAATAACAAAGATCTATGAATACGTAGTACTATTGGGATATTTTTTAAGCACAGAATTCCAGCTAATCCCAGAATAGACCTGTTTTTTAAATTCTTAAAGGAGTATATTCCAAGAGCATATGAAGTAGATGCTCATTTTCCACATAAAGGAGTCACCATCATTTTGTTCAAAGGGAATTCATGTGATAGTTTCATTCCTTAAGTGGTGCTATAGAAGAACCCTGGGAAGATGCTGGTCTTATTGTCTTTAGAGTTATCTGATTTGAGAAAACAACTAAACTGAAATGCAGCTGGAAGGCAGCACCAATGAACATATGGTGAGCAGCAAAAATGAGACCATGACTACTGTTTTCAGATATTGCTGAGCTAATTCAGTAGCCTTGGACATTTCCCTTTAACTCAAGCAGGCTGGAATCTGCCTCCCTTGTCAGCAACTTGTGAGTTAAAGCAGCACTAACGATCACCCTTTAACGATTGATTTTTACCCCTTTCAGATCTAGAAAGGCAAAAACTGATGTCCCAGTTGTTCTCCAAGAACCTACTCCTTTAGTCAGTGTTTCCTCAAGCACGAGGAACATGTCCCCAAAAGCTAGCTCTGCATCATAGCCCTGGTGGATCCCTGACAACCCTATTGTTCTAGTCTGAGCTTTGCAATATGTAAAACAGACCTGTGGTATTCCTGCACATGTAACAGCTTCAGCTTCTTATGGGGTAGTGATGGTCTCCATGAATAGCTAGACTCTTCTAAGATGAAGAGAGATGACTTCAACCAGGGGATGATCCACATCATCTGGCTGCTTTCTCCTACTGTTAACCTTTGTCACTTCTTCTAGTGTATAATCCCCAAAGTTGTCCTTTATTACACAGATCCTTGTTAAGTAAATATACTACTGCTGGTTTCTACTTCTTCCAGTACAACATTTGGATTAAATAAAAATCTTTAGTTTCCAGATCTTGAGGATTAGTTTCATTGGCTAGTCTTCAAAACAAAGGAGAAACTTGATCTAAAAGTTCTGCTAAAATAACATACCCATCATTTAAAGCATTATTTATACAAATGCACTTTATTGTTTTAAACAGAACAAAAGAAGAGGCAGAAAATATTTGCATATAACAAATCCTAGATTATAAATGTAGTTTCTTAGTGGTGATGTCTCTAATCATCATTCAGGGATCTTTTTTTTTTTAATTTCTTCACTGTGTCTTGAGCACTGATATTAGAGAAAAGCACATCGGCATAAAGTGTAAACCAGTGTTTCAAAATGCTGGAAGAACTTGGAGAGCAAATATGATTTTTCGTATTTCCTCTAAGTAATCTTTAGTAAAATAAAGGGTGATCTTTGGCATAGATTCATACTTTAAAGGCATTAATATTGCATTTATATCAGGTAAGCAACTATACAAATATGCTGAGGGCCTTGAAAATAATCTTTATCAGTTAAAAGGAAATAGAGGAAGCCTGAGTGTATGGTACCAACTTAAGACAAGTTTTACACATTCAATGTTGGATCTAACACACACTGGAGGTGCGAAGGAAGGACATTCAGGCAAAAGTTCTTACTCCTTTACTCATCCAGTTCTGGCTTTGGGAAGAAATATGGTTTCACGTGCTGGGGAATGCTTAGACAGCAGTGATAAGTGCAAAAAAGGAAAAATTGCCTTCTCTCACTTTGCTAATAGGAAACTTATTACGGTGATAATTAAATATTATACCCATTACTCTCTTGAACAGTTGTACTTGGGAGGGAGGAGACGATCTTGAGCAAGGGGCTTGGTTGTAGTTGGTTGAGGGAGGTAGGAATTACTGAGGACTATTTCCCATTGATTCATCCCCAACAGAGCCAGAATTCCAGTCTGTAAGTACACTGTCCCTTAGGTAGGACGTGTCCTTCAGATAGGATTGCCTTTCCATTAAACACTCCTGGGAGGCAAGCACCAATTCTTAGGACTGAATTTCAAAAGGATAAAAAGGATCTTTCAGAATTACAGATGAACAAATACATATCTTAAAAATCTTCTTTAGGAAGAGTGTGGGGGAAGAATACAAAAGCCAGGGGAGGAGACATGATTTGGTTAAAAATTAAATGCAGCATTTCAGCTCAGAAAGAACAATAAGAGCTAAGAATGAATGATAAGGCCTCAGCACAGACCTCTGCAGGCAGTGACAAAACATGGAGTGCCTGGGAATGGCCCTGCTGGAAGGATGGGCAGGGCCACATCCCAGCCACTCTGTGCCTCCAGTGGCAGAGAGCACCAAGACACACAGTGTGTACGTGGGATGGCTACCTTGGCAGGCCGAGGCGGAATATGGGACAGGAAGTTTCCCTAGCACAGACATTGCTCAGGGGCACAGTAAAGACAGAATCATGTGATTCTGTGATTTCCTCCTGACGAGTAAAATTTGGTTTGGTACAGTGGGAAACTAGAAGGATTAAATTGGGGAAGGGCAGGAAGTGAGTCCAGGCCCCATATGCTGGGGCTTCCCCAGAGGCCACCTTCCCCTGCAGCAGCGAAGCTCACTTCTGAAAAGGACCCAGGTAGCCCAGCCAGGGAAGGCAGGCAGGGTCAGCAGCAACATGGAAAACCCAAAACAAATTTTGGAGGCACAGTGATTTCCTTCTTAACTGACTTGCCTGGGCTCTGGGTCTTGGGAGCCTGGCAGGAAGAATAGGGGAAAGGAAGCAGAGAGGGAACTGTCCCCTAGGGAACAAGGGCAGAGCAGGGTGTCTGGCTAGTGTTCACTCTTGGATTCTGAGCTTATGTGAGGTCCATAGGCTAGAAACCCAGTCTGCCTATTGGGACAGAGTGTGCATGAGTATAACTGTGTTTGAGAATACAGGCTTTATACAGAGACACATTTCAAAGTGTCCATGACAAAAGTATAAATGTTTTCTAATGTGAAGAGGCCCCATTCCTTTCTGTTATGTCAGGCCACGATGTGGCTTTCAACCCCCCAGCAATTCGGGGTGGCTCCTGGGACTCAGATCATTTCATTCTGTCTAGCCAGGTTCAACCAGGTGCCTACTGGTACCAGGGAGTCTTTCTAACCCAGCGCAGTGTAAATCCAGCATCTGTTCGAATTTTGATTGAAGCTGCTTCTGCTTCTCGAACAGTCTCCTTCACAGACTGCATGAGGTTCTGGGCATTGTGAACCAGCATCTCTGTGGCCTGCAAGGAAAGAGGAGCTCTCCGTTACTTGTAGACCCTGATTAAATTGGGGAAGGGCAGGCTGCCCCCAAAACAGGCTTAAGCCAGGGGTGGACTGCAGTGTACCGTACCTGCACCTGGCATCCCCTGTACTTGTCACATCACTGGTGGTTTAGCTGGATCACCAAAAAGAACCCCATCTTTTTAGTTAATTAATTTTTAATTAGCTAAATTAATGGTCCATTAATCTTTTAGATTAGTGTACTGTACCCTCAAATGGCCTGTAGCATATACTCTTTCCTCATCTTCAAACAAGCTCCTGCCTTGGGCTCTTGCTGTTTCTTCTACCTGGAATGCTCTTCCCACAGGTATCCCATGGCTCACCCCTCACCTTCTTCAGATCTTTGTTCAGTTGTCACCTTAGTGAAGCTTTCCCTGATCATCTTATTTTAAATCACAAATCACCTTCCCAACTCCCAGCATTCCTTATTCTCCAATTCTTCGTTTTTTTCCCATAGAACCCATCATCACTAACTGATGTACTATATGTTTTACTAGGTTGTTTCTATCTGATTTTATCTAAAATTTAAGTTCCATTAGGGCAGAGATTTTTGTCCGTTTTGTTAACTGCTGTACCCCAGTGTTAGGACAGTGCCTGGCACATAAGCGGTATTTCATAAATATCTAATTAATAAATGGAAAAAACAACCAAATGAACAAACCAATCACTTTATACATCCATGAAAATCTAAATAAGTAAATCTTCTAAAACACATAAACTTACAGGACTGGGATCACACTGGTATACTCCACTATAGAAAGTCAGGGAACTTATAGATCCATTGGCCCAGTAATTCTTTTTTTTTTTTAATTCTTAACTATTTTTGACCCACAGACCTTTTGAGGATTTAATGAAGGCTGTGGATTCTCTCCTTTCTCCAGAAAAATGCTCACATGTGCAAAATTTGTGCATGCAATTTCAGAGGGTTTATGGGCTCTGAGAGGCATAACTATGGGCTAGAATTCCAGAAAAGTTGATCTTTTCACTCAGTCAACAAAGAGGATGAGGCCCAGAGAGGTTCGGAGACTTGCGAACCAAACTCACACAACAGTTAGGATGAGGACTCAAAACTTCTGACTTGCAATCCTGTGTTTTTTCCATTCTACCACACTGTCAGTTTCTACCTGTTTTTAATTGAAATATTTAATGCAACATAGTAGATATTCTCAAGATACATGTTGGTTAGTTAATTGATTAACTAAATAATAAGGTCTGAAATTCTGAGCCTTATCCTTCCTTCCCTGTTTTCTCCACTTCCTCTTCTTGGGGCAGAAGAGATCACATGACAGGAAAGAGCTCAGGGCCCAAACCCTGGCTAGAATACATGGAAGTTAGGGGTGAAGATCCAGTTCCCATGGTTTGGGAGAAGACAGGGTTAGGGTGAGAACTGTTGGATTGAAACATGGTAGTGAAAGCAGCACTACTGGCACCAAAAAAAGTAGCCTCCTCTAAAGTGCCCCTAGCCCCTGTCTCCTGGTCTAGAGATCAGAGATGGTTTCCCAAACTATTTGTGAGTTCCTCAAGGGGAGGGATTGTGTCTGTTTTCTTAACTCCCTATACAGTGGCTAATACAGTGCCGCATGTATACCCCATGTATGATGAGCCTTGTCTGGGTAGTTCAACCAAAGATGTGCTGCCTGCCATAAGAAGAAATTGGGAATCTGGCTCACAGCAGAGCCCACTAGAGGGGAGATAAGGAGAGGGAGAGGTGCTCAAATGAGGGCTGTCTGAAATATCTGGGCCACATTTCCAGGAGGCAAGGAAGGAAGACAAACTCCAAGAAATGCTTGCTAAAGTATGTACATACAAGAAGCATCGCTTAAGAGAACCCTCCCACCATCCTTATTTCAATCTCTGTCAAAAAAACCAAAAGTGGGGCCGGCCCGGTGGCATAGCAGTTAAGTGCGTGCGCTCTGCTGCTGGCGGCCCAAGTTCAGATCCCGGGCGCACACCGACGCACTCCTTATCAGGCCATGCTGTGGCGGCATCCCATATAAAGTGGAGGAAGATGGACACAGATGTTAGCCCAGGGCCAGTCTTCCTCAGCAAAAAAAGAGGAGGATTGGCATGGTTGTTAGCTCAGGGCTGATCTTACTCACAAAAAAATAAAAAAGAAAGAAAGAAACCAAAAGAGAAGTACCTCCTTTGAGCTGTCATTTCAGCCTCAGCACAGGAGCCTGAAAAGCCTACAGTATTCATCCTCCCTCAGGTACTTACCCATAGAGCTAGGAAGCAGAAATTCTCTCCAGCCAGAAAGATACAGTGGGTGGGAGTAAACAGGCACTGAAGGCCTCAAGAGAGCCAAACCTATTCCCGGGAGGAAAAGATCTGAGAAGAGTCCTAACTGCTACTGATTCAGACACTTAATCTCCCTAGGCCTCAATTTCCCATCTGTAAAATGACAAAAGTTACACAAGAGCTTCACTTCCCCTTCCAAATTTCTGACGCATTTCTCCAACACAGGCGCCCTCCTGAGAAAGTTGAAGACTCCATCCCACATACTAAATGCTCGGTTCACAGGTAAAATTTCCCCAAAGCTGAATTAAATTGCTATAAAGTAGCACAGAAGCTGCTGGCAAGAAACTAGAAGCAGCAGACACATACCTGCTCAGACTCCTCGTCACTGATGTTGGTCCGGCCCAGCATGGTGGCCTTTACCGTGGACAGGATTTTGAGCTGGGTGCTTATGGTTGGGATTCGCTCACATACCTAAAAAGAAAATTTAATTTAGTATGTTTCTACATTTGTCTTGCCCACAAGTTCCTTGAGGGCAAGACTTATCCACCTCTGTATTCCTAGTGGCTGGCATGCAGAAGGCACTCAAATTAGCAGCAGGATTCCACTTGTTTTCTCCCTAGGATCAGTAGATTGCCTGTGTCCAGAAATGGAAGCATTAAAATTCTTTGATTTGATTAGGAAATAAACTTTCCTGAATTTGTTTTTCCCAAATACACATGTGTATTTCCCCTTTCTGCTATTTCTTTCCACTCTGAAGTGCCACCTCCTCCTTGCTCATCCACTTTTCTCTCTTCTGCATTCCTCCCTCCCACACACCCCCACTCTGATACACACACACACTTTTCCTGAGTACCTGTAAGAGGTTGGTTCTAATGCGCTTATCTGTGCACTGCTTGGCAACCTCCTTGGCCAACCGAGTCACCTCATCTGAGGCCTTGGCGATGTCCTTGGCACATTGAATCAGTGCCCGCTTGGTACCACTGCCTCCTCTTACCAGCCGAGACATCTCAGCCATCAACAGAGCCATGCGCTTGGCTGCTGCAATGATGTCATTGCCCTAGAGAGAAGCAAAGATACAGTGTGAGCTCAGCCCACGCTCTGGCCAAGTAAGGGAAGGAAGTAGAAGCACAGAGAAGAGGAGAGAGCCTGCTGCTCTAGCAGCCCTCTGGAAGAGTGAGAAGAGGATAAAAGGACTGTTCTTGAGTGATATGGATAGCACAGGAGAAACAGACAAAGAGAAGAGCGAGCCAGGGCACTCACCCCAGCACTCAGTGAGAGAGTGAGAGAGAGAGAGAGAGAGCACCCAACTGAAAAAAGGAAGACCTGGGTATTAGTCTGAAAGGGCAACATGTGCGCCCCAGGCACAGCACTAAACAAGCACTTCAGC